CAGAAACAGATGTTCGAAAGAAAACCCCAAATAATTCATGCTTACTCTGGCAACATTGAACATCAGGGGAGCTAGGGACAAAACACATTATATAAACAACATAATAAATAAACACAATATTGACATCCTACTTTTACAGGAAACTAAAATTGGAACTACAGAAGAAGCAAATAAACTAGATGCATAATTAATATCGACAGTCTCAAGCAAAACATCACTCGATCAGCCCCCAAGTAATTTAACATTAGAACAGTCTTCTGTTTCCCAGGTTTTTAAAAGTGCACAACCTGAATGGTAGAAAGAGATACACACCTCACCCTCCCCCCCCCCCCACACACTTCCCTCCACTCAACCGGACTGGCGGATTTTTCAAGGTAGCGTGCCCTCTTTGCCAAGGGTCAATTTTATGTCATGGAAAGTTTTGGAATGATAGATCAGTAATGTGTATTACAGAGACACTTCTCCTACGGTGGTTTCTATTTCTGTCTACAATGTGAACTTATGACTCCTCAGCTAAGGACAGAGCACAGTAAACTAAGCAGTCAAGAGAAACCTAGTTTGCACACCTTATTTTAGTCTAGTTCTTATGCCATTTAATTTTCTCCATTTGATTATTATATATGCAATTGATGTTCATGTCTTTGATGCTGTGTAAAATCTATCAAATAAATTATTATTAATGATTTAAAGGTTTAAAACAATTGAATTAATAATAATAATAAAAAAAAAAGAAATATTCGTTAAATGAATGAAAGTAAGCTACAAGTATGAAAGAAGTATTACTATTGTAAATTTGTATTAGTCCTCACAAGCCGGGTATGAAAACTGTAATACTAAAGCGAACACACACAACTGACGCTGTAAATTACATGTCTGAGGCAAAAGAGAATTTGTAGAAAGTAACGTTTTAATATTTGTTGATTGATTTTGCTTGCTAGATTTCATTTTAAAAAGAAGTTGCTTTGCCTAGTGCTAGTGACAAGACTTAACTAGACTAGATCTAGCTGTAGAATCTAGGCCCTGCATTAATTTTAATTTATTTAATATTTAGTCCAGAAAATGCGCCAGGGTCGTCTCAGGTAATCTAAATTCTAAATGAATAATCAGATAGCCTAATTAAATAGTAGTGTAACTGACAGTATTATTAACTTAAATACTAATTTTATTTTTTCTTTGTATAAGCCAATGTTAAGAATTACCACCGTACATCTCTGCACCTTCATATATTCTGACTTTTAAGTTGGAATCTTATGTAAAAAACAGCAACAGAGAGGAAACGTTGCAGCCCGAGTTCCAAATGAACATCCCAGATATTTTGTACTGTGATTTAAACACGGACTAAGTTTTACCGGACATATTCGTGATGCCTTACTTGGAATCATGTCATGCATCTCTAACCCAAATTACAAAATCTATGTACCACGAAAGGTATGCTGAATGATTGGTTGGGCTTAAGATTTAATTGGCGATTTGTCTTTATTTTTTTATTGCTAAACTCGCAATAACTATAAATGTAATATTCTTTGTTTTTTATTCACATATATGTTGTATACTTGAGGCAAGGAGTGGCCAATAATTTAATTTATTTGAGGGCACAAGTCATGTCTCAGATGAAAAAAAAATCCACTATTTGGTGGACATTATGGTGGACATGGATGGTGTGATTTTGGAGGCACAATGTGAGTGTGCAGCAGGGATGGGACCCCTTGCTCATTGCAAGCATGTCCAGACCATCATTTATGGATTAAGCATTTATAAAAATGATGGATTTTTGTGTGCCCAAACATGCACAGAAATACTACAATGGTTTCATGTGGTGAAAAAGCACACAGAGTCACCCATAAAATCCCAATCTTTAATTCTGCCAATTAATTTAAAAATTGGTTTATGACCCCAGGCAGTATATACAGCCTAAAGAGTCATATGAGGCTCATTTTAGGAATGTGTGGATGGCTGCTAAAGATAAAGCACAAAGACCAGTCTTTCAGCTGTTTGAGCCAGCTAATATGTTGGCTCTTGTAAAAGGCCATAACTACGGTTGTCTACAAATGGAGGAAAACTTTTTGCAGAGCATTGGCCTAAAAGAGATGTCAGATACATCTTTTAGAAAAGAAAACAAGGGGGCAAAGTTCCAACAAATTGTGAGTTGAGGAGAGACTAAAGAGGATTCAGTCCTCTAACTTCGGACGGATATGTAAGGCAACAGAAAAAACAAATTTAAATAACTTAGCTAAAGTTGTAATGGTCAAACGGGATATTAGTTCGCCTGCTTTAAGGCATGGTCGAAAATATGAAGCTGTTGCCCTTAAGGAATTTGAAAAATTTACTGGTCTTAAAGTTAACAAATGTGGGCTGTTTGTTTCAAAACAGTTTCCCTTTTTTAGCATCCTCTCCTGATGGTGTTATAACTGATGCAAATGGACTGAGGCATGTTGTTGAGGCCAAGTGCCCATATGTAGCTAGACAAAACTTTATTAATCCAACAAGTATTCCATATCTGTATACCACTGATGATGTTTTGGCTCTTAAAACAACACATGATTATTATTATCAAATACAAGGCCAACTACTTTGTACTGGTGCAAGGAGTGCATATTTAATAATTTACACATTTTCTGATTTTAAAGTGTTGTTGATTGAAAGAAATAATGATTTTATAGAATCAATAGTTTTGAAGCTATCTAATTTTTATGACTCTCATTTTAAACCAATTTTATTAAAATCTAAATTTTTAAGATTGATGAATGCTAACAGTTGTGCATTTGAAACAAAAGTCTTATTTGTAAAGTTTTGTTAACTATTTTATTCATTATAATAATATAATGTATGATTTTTCTACATGTAATATAATAATGTACAGTTTCACATGCAATTTTTAAAAATTATGTTAATTTAATTGAATTTGATGTACACAAAATAGAGGTACATTTTAATATTTTTATCTGCACTTGTTTTGTTGTGATTTTTATTAAATTGATAAATGTTTCACAAGTAACAGCACCTATTACGAACAATGTCATTTATACCTACGTTATTTTGAAAAACAACAAATTGAGTCAATACATACAACAAAATGTGCATTAATATAATACAGCAGTTCTTTACCAAATACAAATTTAAGTTTAAGCATTGGGAGGTACAATATTCTTCCTGAAATTACATAAAAAAAAACATACCTTAAGTATTTGAGTAGCTAGTCTACTTTCTGTTGAATTTAAAGGCTGTTTACAAATTTTGTAAACTTTTGCCATACCAATAATCAGGGGCGGAACTACAGTGCCGCCAGACCCCGCAATGCGGGGGTCCCAGGCCGATTGGGGGCCCAAAAATCCTGCCCAAAAATCCTGGCTAAATTATACATTTTTTTTTAAAAATTTAAATAAAAAAAAATTAGGTGGATGTCGAGTTATCTTTCTTCTACAGTTACAAACAAACACGATAGTCGGCAAACGTCTTTGAGAAAAATGCACAGACTATAGCTCGAGAGACCGCCAGACATATAGACAACTTCAAAGACGCAACCTACCGTTCTTTTTTAGTGGCGTCGATTAGGAGAACAAAAAAAGCTTTGAAAATCGGGCTGGGGAAATGTTGCGGCGACTATCCTGGTCTTCTAGACGACCGGAAAAAGTCGGCGCTATTGATGTAGATGTTCATCGGCGCTTTCTTGTCCCCTTCCCTTGAACCTTCCCAACTCTCTACCCCCCCCCCCCCCATCCCCCTAACCTCTACCCCTCACCACACCCTTACTTTTACAATAAGATGTAATGCATAGATTAACGAACCGTTTATGAACTACTGAACTGTAAACTGACCACTTCTGCACATTTTGTTAAAGACACTAGTCGGTAGTTGTTCATTTACCTTATGAAGTATTTCGTTGACGAATCTAATTCACACAACAAGGAAGGTAAGACTCGTCTTTATAATATTAATCGTTTTATAATTAGTACACGTATTAATGGAACATTAGTTATTAACACTAAATACATTAAAGTTAAAAATTTTTAGGATACAATGATCTAGCTTTTAAGCTCAAAAATAACCAAAAGATCTATACAGGGGCGGAACTACAGTGCCGCCAGACCCCACAATGCGGGTGGGGGGCGGGTGGGGGGGTCAGGCCGTTTAGGGGCCCACTGCTGACCATAATTAGTATTTTTTTAAATTTTGAATTTAATTTTCGTGCATTTTTGCCTTGATATTTAGTTTGTAAAAGAAAAACACTGTAGCTGCGGTATGATTATCTTTATTTTACAGTCACTATACCACGCTCTTCAGCAAAAAAATAAAATCCATTACACAAAATACAGTGTAAAATATAGGCAACGCTTCAAATTTGAATGACACATTGACTCGTTGCCCCCCCTTTGATAGCTAAATAGAGGGCACGTAACTGTTTGGCCGATCCTCCAAAGTGTACTGTGGCGGATGGGGCAGGGGATGGGGATCAAATTTCTTTTTATTTATAGTTGTATTTTTTAACCATCGTCAAGAGTTCTATTTCCCCACAATCAAACACAGGCTGTCGCCGGCAAAATTCTTTAAAAAAAAAAAACAACAAAGACCATAGCACGAGAAGCCGCTACATATGAAGTGGCTTTCATGATGCGCGGTTCTTTGCGGCATAAGTTAGGGGACCCGCCGAAATCCATTGTACATTTTTCAATGTTAATATGTGTTTGTGATAGTGGTTGAATTTGTATTCTGTACTATCTTGAATCCTACAAATAATAAAAAAGAATATAATACTAGAAACTTCGTTTTTATATACGTTTACTTGTTTTTTACTTTTACAAGAAATATCATAGTAAACTTTTAAGGCCTATACTTGGAATTATCTCCCCTGAGTAGTTTTTTAATGGGCGGTGGTACATAGGCGCTTTGTTGTCTCTTTCAAGATTTTTCCCGAGCCGACCCCCATCCCATCCTCTTTTTTAGCCTCGCAAGTATCGAGTAGACCAATGTATCGTTTATGAACTACTTCCTAACCGTACGATTCACCACTTTAGCACATTTTGTCTGACATTAGACAGCACTAGTCAACAGATATTGATTTATTTGCATAGTATTAGTATTAGGCACATCTAATTCACAAAACAGGGAAGGTAAGATTATTTTTTATATAATTATTTAGAAATTAATTAGAACGTTTAAAATTAATTGAACATTATTATATAATTAATAGTCAATTACTATTATAAATGACGTTATTGAGGTGGGGGTGTGTGAGGGTCTGGCTTTTTGTTAGTCGTTAAAAATTGTGACGTCATTTGTGGATTCCCCCCCCCCCCCCCCCCTAAATCAGAAGGTTATCCGACGCGTGAGCTGGCCACATACAGTTGTGCATGTGAAAAACATGTTTCTGTCTATTTTGCATTACTGCATATTTACCCAATCGCCATGAAAACTTTGGAAGCTGTTGAGGACAGCCCAGGGGAGGAACTAGTGCCGCCAGACCCCGCAATGCCTGGGGGGGGGGGGTACCAAGCCGTTTACGGGGCCACAGCCGCCCATAAAAAAAAAAATTATAGTTAAAATTATTTTTCTTGCATTTTTGACCTGATGGTTGTTTTGAAAAAGAATACCGTAGCTGTGGTTGGAGTATCTTTATTCTATAGACACCATCCCACGCTCTTGTATATTCTTTTTCCTACAAACACACGCTGTTGTCGGCAAAATTCTTTTGAAAAAACATCAATTGCGCGAGAGACCGCTAGATATTAAGACGGCATTTTGAGACCATCCCAAATTTGGTACTGATGGATAAAATCACATCGGTGCTTTGTTGTCCCTTTTAAGTTCCTTTCTCAGACCTCCCCTCCCCGCTCTTAGCCTCACAAGAAGCGAATAGATAATGCCTCAACAACTAAGCTGGCTCATATCGGTGGTAGTGTAGACAAACTAGCGCTCCAACAACAACGCTGGCTCGAATCGGTGGTAGTTTTGATAAACTAGCGCTCCAACAACTAATATCCAAGAAATAAAGTGCCTACATTGTTTACGTTTAATAACCACTGTTCTAGAGAACAAGGCAGACGTCTCAATTGAATACACGAATGATAGCGTGTTATATATATACATATATATATATATATATATATATATAATATATATATATATATAATATATATATATATATATATATATATATATATATATATATATATATATATAGGGGGGCCCAAAAAATTTTTTTGCGGGGTGGCCCATTTTTTCTAGTTCCGCCACTGCCAATAATCCTTTCAACCTGAACCCTTTTGCTTGAAATAAATCTATCTCGAATAACAGTTAGTGGGTGAAGCCTATTTTTTTTCTTGAAGAATCTTGGAATATTTAAAGTTACATCTTTCCTAGCAAATAAATCCTGAACGTTGAAACCTTTGTCTGCCATTATAGAGTCCCCTGAATTACACAGATCAATAATTCTACTTCTCTCGACTAATTGTCTATCTGATGCTGAGCCTCCATAGGCATCTGAGATGTAGGAAACGAGTCCACCTGGAGTACATCCTACAAGAACTTTAACTGTATTTCTATGCTTATAAGTGGAAAATGTAGCTCTCTGAGAGCGTGGGTTGGAAGGAATTTGGATTGGGATTTCTTTACCATCTAAATTTACTCTAGTTGTAGGGAATTTTCTTTTAAAATCAGAAGGACAAAATTTTTTTACCAAACTCCTTTTAGGCCACATATTTATATCCCCCCACTGAATAGCACAAAAATTAATCCATGTAATAAATATATTTTGAACAGTAAAACTGGAAATATCAAACATTCTAGCAAGTTCAATTACAGGGTAATGGTGCCTTAATCTAACCAACATTAATAAAAATTGGTCATGTGTACACAGACATTCACAAGACTGAGTATAAATGTAATTTAATTTATCAACCCCTCTCCCTAATGACCAAAACACAGTAAAAAATGTTGCTGTACTGTCCAAGCCAGTATAGTGATTGACAAGTTTGTCATTGTCCTTTATCCTTTTAAATGAAAGATAATGTTTAACTGATTCTTCTAATACATTTGTCTCCTCTTCTGTGCACCCAATAGCTATTACTTCTGGACCTGGGTCTTCACAGAACTCACCAACAATTTCTTCAGCCCCAATGTCTAGGTTGCACACAACCATTTCTGATATTCCTGGGTCTTCAACTGTTGATCCTTCCTCGCCCAAGACACTTTTCACCACAGTAATGTTGTCCTCTTGGTGGGGTTGCACAGTTTCTGTCCTTTCTTGTCGTTTTAATAGCCTTCTTTTTCTAGCCACTTCAAGTGTCTTGGGGGATATTGTCCATTCAAAAATAGATGGCACTGCCATCTTTTTCAAACATTTCAAAATTCTGGGATTGCCTGAAATAGATATTTTATCATAGAATTAATATAAGCAGTTTTTCTAGCAATGGTTAATTCAATTTAGAAATAGTGATGATATGAATGTAATTTTAAATTTATGCCAGGTCTAAAGTAATAGAAATCTAATGGCGGGCCTAGATTATAATGAATAATACAGTAATCAGATAATTAGGCCTACTTAATAAATTACCAGAAATTTTCAAACTATGCCTAATCTAAAAGTAAAGACCTATTATTATATTAAAAATAAATAGGCCTAGGGCCAATTAAATAGTAATATTTATTTGAGAGAATAGGCCTATAGATTATAGAGTAGTGTGGTAATAGTAGTCTAGATAGAGATGTAGGACTACGATTAGTGATTAGACTAAGGGTAAAGGCAACACTTAGTTCACGGCCTACGATTCATTATATATAACACCTAGGCTCTAACTCTATACTATTTGTATTAGATTAGAATGATTAGAATTAGTATTAGACAGAATTAATGAATAATAGTATTATAATAGCTTTTAAACTTTTAATGCTAAGGCCTAATGCAATGACTACTAGATCTAGATCTACTACTAGCTAGATAGTTAGTAGATTGACTACTAGATCTAGATCTAGATTCTAGATGTTGGTAGAATATAGTTCTAAATCTATCTATTCTATAGTAATCCTCTATAGGCCTATACTTAGACTTAGTTATTAAATACTATTAGACCTATAGTATACTAATAATAAGGCATGGTAAAGTAAGTATTAAGAAAGTTAGGTGGTAAATTTACCTGTTATAAAAGCGACATCATTCTTATAATCTTATAATCCTCTTCTTTAAAATGTCTTTTACAGACAATCGACGTCTTTGATGGCACCCACTTGCCATGATCAGGTTTCTCCCTTTTAATAGCTGCGATCCATTTCGAACGAAGTTCTTTATTTTTGGGGAATAGGTGTCCACCTTTTCCCTTACACTTTGGTACAGAGCAATATGCTTAATTTATACTTAAACACACGATCTCTCAAACATACTTTACTACTATTTAAATATCAGCATACATGTTTGCAGAGCCGGCGTTAGGAATACGCGGGGGCCTAGGGCCAACCATCTGCGCGGGGCCTGCTTTTTTCCATTATATATATATATATATATATATATATATATATATATATATATATATATATATATATATATATGTGTGTGTGTGTGTGTGTGTGTGTGTGTGTATAGCCCTATATAATATGCATAAACACATAATAACACATAAATGTTTTGGAGTCTATAAGACTTTAATAACAGATGTTTAGGCCTACCTCTCCCACGTTTTAACCCAATGTTTGTAGTTGTGTTTTTTTCCTTGCTAATATATTAAATCACTTTTGACAGTTATGTAATTCATACCAAATCACTAAAGAAAATTCAATCACGTGCCAAATAATTAGTAAAATAAAGTTGTTTAAATTGTTTGTTGTTGACTTATTGTTAATATAAAAGCAGGGGCGTAGAGGGGCGGGGGAGGGGGGGTGCGGGGTGACACCAAGGCAAAAAATAGCAAAACATATACTGAAATATGATAGTTCCGCTTTAAAAAGTGGCTAAGTAGAGTGTTAAAAAGTCTTTTAAGAGCAAATTTGATAAATCCCGACAAGGGTGGAGAGGGGGGCGGGGGTGACACTATGACGCAAACCTGCTAATGATAGAGAAAACACGCTACATCAACACTTTTAACTTTCTTCCAAAAAAGTAATAATAAATCACTCTGTCTAATGCCCCTTGATATAGATCCTAAGGGCCTCCCCCCCCCCCCCCTCGTCGCCCTGTTCCCACTCCTCTGCACGCAACTGAATGTTAATTATGTTATACCAAGGCAAGTAGGCCTACATATTCGACATCTACAACAAGAAAGTCAGGACTAGCGTTCATCAGGTCACTAACTGTCTACTACAGGCATCCCTCTGCTCACTAAAAGGACGTCTTCATCGGGCCGCATACAATAGAGTATCTTTTTCCCAAATTTACATCCCATGTCAGGTCGGGGGCTGATTCGCGTCCAACTATCTCCAGTCAGCTCAGGTCAAATGCGAGGCGACCGTATCCTACACCAGTGTTTCTTCCAGACTTTTTTCTCCGGGGGGGGCACTTGAAATCTTCGGGGGGGGGGGGCGGTAAACTTTCTTCGGGGGGGGGGGGGGCGGACACTGTTAAAAGTATATATTTTCTATATAAATTATATAAATTTCATTTCGTTCGGGGGGGGGGGCGGTAAAAAATTTTCGGGGGGGGGGGGGGGGCGAAGTCCCCACGAAGAGATGCCTGGAAGAAACTCTGCCCTACACAAAGGGGAGGTCTGACACTGTTTTTGTATCGAATTACGGCCTGTCCCAGTTCAGGTGGGTGATAACTCACTAACATCAACCGTGGCCTCAGTTATAACAATCAACAACTTCGGCATTCGACCATTTAGTTTTTCCCAATTGAATTCAGCAACAATTTTTTTACAAAATTTAGTTTACAAACTAATTTAGATAACAATGACAGTGCTGAAGCGCGGGGCCCCTTCAAGCGCGGGGCCTGGGGCGACCGCCCCGTTTGCCACCCCCTAACGCCGGCTCTGCATGTTTGTTTACAAATAGTTTAACCTAGATGTACGTGTCGCCACCTAGTGTCAGGGGTGGCTACTCTGCGTAGCAATATTGACCATTTAATTTTGTATTATTGTAGTTTATGTTTATAATTAATAAAAATATATTGACACGCTTAGAAAATAGAGTTTGTTTTTTTCACGTGTGTGTAAGGTTGTTAGCTGTTATGATAGATTATAAATATCTATCATGGTGTCTCCACCTCTCCCCCCTTCTTGCCACTCCACAGGTAACGGTACACACCTGGACCTGAGTCCAGCTGTATTGTAAGGCTGACCGGGCCTCGACCTCGGATTGCGGTCACGAGGGCGGAGCCTGAGTCATGTGACCTGTAGGGTAGGGACGCCATAGTCCGGTCACTCTACCTTCTCCCCTCTTCGGAGGTACACGTTTTTTTTGGTGCTAAGGCACTAGCCAACATAACATATTATACTTATTTTGGTGCTACGGCACTTGTTCTCCTCGGAGACATTAAACGTACGTTTGGCAACGTGTGTAGAGGACTGTGTGGCTTCTTTGGAAGGTAATTAACACTTACTTTTATTAGTTGTAATGTTATAATATTAATTAATAAGTATGGAATGAGTATAAAACAATGTATGAATGAAAAGCATATTTTCTAGTAATGTTTATTGTAGGCCTTATGTAAGGCTAATGTAAATGTATTATCTTGGTAACAATTGTAAACTTGTATGTGTCTGAATGAATGTGTATATCACACATATGTTAGGAAGTTGTCACATGTATTTTACAGCCGGCCAGCTTGGGGCTAAAACTTAGACAGTACAGAGGTCTGTGTGTGAGCAAGTGTGACCACGCCGCCCTGAAGACCAGTCGCCCCTTCCAGGCTACTTTAAATTGTATCATTATTCCTATGCCAATAATTAATGTATTAAAAGTTAAATGATTGTGAAACTGAGATAATTACTTAGTCATAATTTTAAACCTTTTTTTACTGAGCCAAATATCGGCAGTCAGTCAATAATAATAACATAACATTATTAAACGCAATATTACTATTAAGGGACCTCTTGTCCAACGAGACAAACCCTAGACTAAACAGGTCATTCTGTAGCTTCGGCTATAACTATTTATGTGCGGTATGACTCGCTAGAGCATATTTGCCACAATGTATGCTAAAACAATTCCACTATAATTTTAAAATAAACGGTCAAAGGGATGCAACAATAGAAATACCGCGTACTTCGAGAAAGCATTATTTCCTTCCCCTGCTAATTACAAAATAAACCGGGAGTGATCTCCACAAAACTTTCTCGAATATTCTTATATAAAATAACAGGGGATGGGAACTCGGGCTATAGACATGATTTTTAATCCATTTTAAATACTTAAAGTTTTAAAAATAGAATAAAATCTCGTAGACAAAAGAATTGCACACCAAGTGAACGCTAAATAAAAAAGTGCATAATAGTGCGCAATATTATTAGTACTTTAAAAATTTACATTCGTTTTTTGAGAAATCGGAAGTAGCGTAAATTACTACTTCCGGTCAACGGAAATGACTCAAAATTTAGCAGAAGGTAGAGAATTAGATCTTTTACTTACATGTGAAATGTCGTTTATCTATCAGAAATAGTACTCAAGTTATAGGCTTTTGAAAATTTCAATGTAGGAAAAGTACCACTTCAGGTTATCGGAAATCGCTCAAAAGTTGATGCGGATCTACGATTTTGATAAAATACTTATATATGAAATTTCATCAACCTAGCTGTGACGGTACTCAAGTTATCGTGTTTACACACACACACACACACACACAGGCACACAGACACACTGACATACGGACAAGATTGCAAAATTATGTTTTTCCGTATCAGTGAGATGTAAAACGTCGAGATTTGTAAAAATCTCGATTTTTTTTGCTCGATTACAATACTTTCTCTATACTACGTATATACGAGAAAGTAAAAAAAAGGCATACATTAAATATTAACAATAAGATATACTCGAAATATAAATCACAATAGTTCATCTAAAATTACTGTATGGCTTAAAAAGTAACATGATTAAAAATTAGTAGTACAGAGAGAGAATATATATCTTAGCAGAAGCTTTGAAATGTTTACGATGACTTGTAAATCATAGGAAGAAAAGATAGAATAAACCAAATGGTTGCTTTCCATACACCTAACATTTCCGTAAGTAACACATGCTACCTACATGTATTTAGAGTTTTATATCCCACTCTCTCATCTCAAAGTTCAGGTCCCGGAGTCGAATCTGTAAGACTTTCATTAGTCCACCCATCTCAGACGGGTACCTGCCTAAGGTTAGAAAAAACTGGGGCCATAGGTAAGACCTCCATACAAAACCAATAACAAACACTACATTTTGATTTGAGTCAAAAGGCCGAGAAGTGAAATGGTGCATTCAGTCACTCGACTACTCCGACCATTGTAGTTTCTACTATAAATTACCACTTGATGAATGATTAAATCAACATAATGTCTGCCATATTGAACTCACAAACAACTTTATATTTAGCTACATCTGACCCGCTTCTAGCGTAACACATACGTATCTTACACGATTACATATTTTCTATTTTAATTAATTTTAAATGTGTGTATACGATTATTCGCACTGTATTGTACATATTTATTGGTATATGGTTTATTGTTTTATTTATTTATTTAGTTTACCAAGGCAGATAAGTATGTAACAATAATTTTCAATATTATTTAGTCAGTTACCAAGGGAAATAACTCTCTATTTATTTGAAAAACTAACTACATTCAATGAAGCGGAAACAATTCAAATATAGATAAAACAGAAAAAAAATTATACGTAGATATTTTATAATTAAAAAACTAGTAACATTAATATCAATATATCTTTAAATTTTGTTTGAATAATATATGTATTTAAAAAACGACACCCTGTAGCGTTGTGCATTACACACATAGAACAATTACAATGAAGTTAAATTAATAATATTTCCTTAAGCTACACAATCGCTAAATGATTTTTTTTTAAATCAAGCTTTTAAAAACGATATTACCCCGATAATACGCGCGGCCCTAGAAGACAGAGGTTTCAGCGCATCAGATTTTAACAGAGCGTACATCACTCTAATCCCCAAACCTGACACAGACAGAACAAAAGTCCAGAACAATAGGCACATATCCCTACTGAACAGTGACTACAAAATCTTGACCAAAGCACTAGTAAGGAAAATAGAAACTTTCATAGACAGGATAATTCATATAGACTAACACTACAGTATACCAGGCAGGAACGTACAGATACTAACATGTTATAAGAGACATACTTTTTTTATGCTACACGGAAGAATGCGCAACTGGCAATCATTAGCATAGACCAACAAAAAGCCTTTAATAGAGTAGATCATTCATTGTTAATGAAAACAATAAATGCACACAATCTAGGACCCACAGAAGCTCAAAGCCACCTTTTGATCAACAATACAGTCACCAAAGCTATACAAATAAAAAAGTCAGTTAGACAAGGATGACTGCTATCCCCACTATTATATATCCTTAGCATAGAGCCCATGTTAGAGAGTCTTAGACAGGACATCAGGATAAAAGGATTGCCTTTAACAAACACGACAGTCAAGAAAATAATCGCATACGCTGACGACACCAATGTCCTACTACAGACAGAAAAATAAATCAAGACAGTAATAGAGACTTTCTTGGATTTTGGCAAAGGCAGTGGAGGGAAAAATAACGCAGAATTTTTTTTTTAAATGTAGGCATGGGTAAAAAGAAATAAGATACTCCAATGACTGCAGTAGACAAACTGAAAATATACGATACTACTTTTACAAACACCCCGACAACTGAAGACAAGGAAAATTGGATGAGACTGATGAAAAAAAATTACACAGAAACTGGACAAATACAAAAATGTCAATACCAGAGTTTCTTCCAGGCATCTCTTTTTACCGCCCCCCCCCCCCCGAACGAAATTTAATTTATGTCATTTATATAGAAAATATATACTATAACAGTGTCCGCCCCCCCGAAGAAAGTTTACCGCCCCCCCCCCCCCCCCCGAAGATTTCAAGTGCCCCCCCCCCCCCGGAGAAAAAAGCCTGGAAGAAACACTGGTCAATACAACCATATTCGCTAGGGCAGCACTCATCAATAAATACATACTATCAAAAATTAATCTTCGTAGCCACAGTAAGTTCAGTACCAACCCACTTCATAAAGTACACAAACAAGCACATTAGGGAATTCATCTTCAAAAATACAATTAGAAACATTAATCACCAAACATTAATACAAAATAAACTAAACAGCAGGATAGGACTGCACGACATAGCCACAAAAATTAAAACATTCAGGAGTAAACACTTAGATAGAATTAGAATAGAGCCACACTACCACCCACTAGCCCAATACTATATAGGATAGAGGATCAACACTGTATTAAAGAAAACAAACATCACACCACTTCTAAATATATACACTAGCTATCTTCAAAGCATTCAACACAAACAGAAACATAATTGTAGAGAAAACAACTAAAATATATAATTATATGACACATTAGTCGAGCCACAACTATAACCACTACAATTCTATTCTATACTATCTTTAAAAGTTTAAATAATTAAAAATTATGTCTATATCGCGATGTACCATCTACCGTAGTGTTATATAAAATTGTTCGAGAAGATTTAAGGGAGATCACTTGCGGTTTATTTTGTTTTGGAATGTTTGCAAAGGACGTAATCACATATTTAATCATTGCCATACATAGGTTTTATCGTCTTTCTCGTGTATTGTCCTTTTTCATTAAAAAGACACTAGATATTTTTTTTTCATTATATTTTAGAAAAATAAAATGGTGTTGACTTCGGAGCCCCCTATGAACGTCTTCCGACCCTATAACGATAACGAATTTATATAAAAAATAGGTCCTCCCACACATTAAAAAGTCTGAAAGTCTGAAAGAAACACTCTATATGGCGACAACTTTTAAGATTAAATAAATACATTAGGTAGTAATGTAGGTGTCTTTATTATTGAGCATCGATAACGTCATTATTTTTGTGGCATTATATTTATTTGCTCTAGAATAAACAAAGTCAATTTTCTTTTCGTGTAGCTTTGAAAGAAACGCTGTGGTGAAGGAGAAATAAAAGTCAACGTCAGTCGGACGTGACAACTCACATCACCAGATAGGCCGAACTCGTGAGACGATGGGTGACTGTGACAGACCTGTACTACAGACACGGACACGATCTTAGGAACCATGTAGCGACAGTTTAAACTTTAAAGACTGGTCTAAGGGAGGCAATAACTAAAATATATACGCTTTACACTAGGTTAGGTCACTGCCCTTGTTTCCTCG